AGGACATTATCAAACTATAGTCCTGCACTTTGTTCTGTGATAAAGAAAGAAAGAGAGAAAAAAAGACCACCCTTCTATTGATTCCTTCTTTCTGCCATTTTTCATGTTTTTATTTATTTATTTTGGAAGTATAAAGAGGTTAGTAATTACTTGTATTAACCCTAGCTTGGGAGGGGGGAGGTGGACACAAGGCATCAGAGATAAAACTCAGGGAGTCACATGTGCTAAGCAAGTACTCTACAATTGAGCTACATACCCTAGCTTTTAAGGGGAGGAGGGCTCTGTGACGAGCGGGGGTCTGAGGATGGCAGCAATCTTGCCAGCGTGGAAAAGTAGAAGAAGGTTGTTTTAAACATTTCAGTTGAGAAATGAAGACACCCCAACTAAAGGAAAGCTAAAGAACCTGGTTTAAGTCAGGCATGGTGGCATGTGCCTAAAATTGCAGCACTCACAGAGGTTGAGGCACAAGGATGGCAAGTTTGAAAACAGACTGGGCTGGGTAGTAAACCCCTATCTCAACAAACAAACAAACAAACAAACACAGAACATGGGCTAAAAGAAGGAAGTAGGGAGCACTGTTGCAAGAGATATGTCAACCTTAACCCAGAAACACCTCACTGAGGCTATAGTAAGGCCAATCAGAATGCTTGACTCTCATTTTCTCTTTCTATAAATGCTGGATTCTGTTTGGCTAACTTCAGGTTCCTAGTCTGGGCTTTCAGTTTTAGCTTCATCTTTATTTGGCCCTTCAGATGGAGATAGCAGCACCCTGGGTAGTGACTTGACAAAAAACAATCAGGCTCTATTATGAATTGTTTCAAATAACCATGTTTCTGGACTGTAGCTTGATAGTCATTTCTCTTATAATCTAATAGATGAAGCTATTTTTTTTTCTAGAGCCTTCCTGGGCTGAGGGTAGGCACTTTCAGTGTAATCTTCCTATTGTCAACCCCAAGAACCAGTCTTAGTTCTAGATTCTGGTTGGATTGCCCTTTGTTGCTGGTTATTAGTATAGACTGTGCCACTTCAAATTACCATCCTGCTAGTGTCCTCCATCACTCCCAGAGAGGAGCACAAATGTAAAGGAAGTGTAAATATCTGCAACAAGCTGGTTAGCTCTCATATCTCTCTGAAGTGGGCTCTGTGATCAGGAAATATTGACCGAATGAATTGAAAAAGGCCTTAGTAAAAAAGATGTCTAAATTCTTTCAACAATACCTCTCTTATTTGATAAGCATTTTGGAACATCACACATAGACTTTCATGGCAGGGATAATTTTTCTTTTGCTTGAAATATGCTCATGCCATATTTCTGTCTTAGTAAGTCATCCTGATCTTCCTAGCATCCTTGGCATTTATTGAACACTTTCTGTATTCAACACATTGTGCTGAGCACTTTGAAGATGACCTCACTGAGTCCACAAAATGACCTTCAAGACAAGCATTGTTTTAAACCCCATTTTATAGGTGAGGAAATTGAGGCACAAGGAGGCAGATAATTCTCACAGCTAGGAGTGATAGGACCAGGACAGGAACCCTGGGCTCTTAGCCATCTCAGAGTCCTGTCTCAATGAACACAAATCCCTTGGCTACCTTCCCTACTCTCTGTTGCACACTGAAAGCTTTCTTTTCTTTCTTTCTTTCTTTCTTTCTTTCTTTTCTTCCTTCCTTCCTTCCTCTCTCTTTCTCTCCTCTCTCCTTTTCTTCCTCTTTCCCTTCCTTCCTTCCTTCCTTCCTTTTTTTTTTTTTGACAAGAGTCACTATATCCTAGGATGGCTTTGCTTGAACTCACTATGAAACCCAGGTTGAACTTGAACTCTGGATCCTCCTGCCTCAGCCTCCTCAGTGCTGAAATTACAAGTGTGCCCAGCACTGAGATCTTTTCTAAACTCACTGTTTTCCTGCTCGGATATTCATTGTGTGTGTGTGTGTGTGTGTGTGTGTGTGTGTGCTATGAACCCTTTTGGTGGTATGGAGAAACCTATGGGATTCTTCTCTGAACAATGTTTTAAAATCCATACATCAAAATAGACTAACAAAGGAAACCAATGCCACTGAAATATAGGTATAGTCAAAGAGCCTGCAAGAGTCCATAGACCAAAGATGAGGAATTCCTAACTGACGGTTGTGCATTGCTTTAGACCCATGTTGGGCAATGTGGCAGCCATTAGCCACATATGACTGTTGGGTACTTGAAAGGGGGTTAATCCAAGAAGAGACAGTCTAGAACTGTAAACGTCATGCTGGGTTTCAAAGGACTTAGTATCAAATGTTATTAATAGGAGTTACATATCAAAATGTTACTACTTTGACTATAGTGGATTAAATACATATATTGTTTAAATATATTTGCATAATTAAATTATTAAGTTATTAAAATATACTTCCAAAGGTATTAGATCTATACTAACACATTCATGATTTCAATTTTTTGGGGGGAAGGCAATACTAGAGTTTGAACTCTGCTTGTTATGCCGGTGCTCTACCTTTTGAGCCATACCTGCAGCCCCCAAAAGCTTCATTATAACAAATGAGGAAATCAGGACCCACGATGTCTGCCACTCAGCCAGAAATAGCGGGACTTTTCTTCTTCTTTCTCCTCTTCTTTCTTGCCCCCCACCCCTTCCTGCTTCCTCCTTTTTTTTTTTTTCTGTATGGGGTTGGAACCAAAAGTCTCTACCACAGTTATGCCTTTAGCCCCACTCTGTTGATTCTTGAGTCTAAGTTTTTTTCTTTTTCTTTCTTTTTTATCTTTGCAATACTTTGCAATATTAGTGCCTATACCTTGAGCCACTCCACCAGCCCTTTTTTTGTGATGGGTTTTTTCGAGATAGGGTTCCTTGAACTGGTTGCCCAGGCTGGCTTCGAACCAGGATACTCCTGATCTCTGCCTCCTGAGTAGCTAGAATTATAGGTATGAGCCACTGGCACTGGCTGTTGTCCTAAGATATGGTATTGCTTTTATATGCTTGCATTCCAATGGCCTGTCATGTTGCATTTGTAAACTGCAAATGCTCAAAATACATTCTGATGCAATGGTAACTGACTTTATTTCAGCAAAATCCCAGCAAGACCACATGCCCTCTGCCTTGTTTAGAGTTTTAGTTTTGTAGGTAGAGGTGAGGAATAGGCACTCATAGGGCAAACCTCATGACTTTTGTTGTCTGTTTGGTTCTTCTCAGGGTGAGCTCCAATTTAAGCATCTTGACTGGGTCAGTGATCACACAGACCAGGAGAGAAAAGTTGTGTTAACTTTCTTTGTAACAGTGAAGGTAGTTGGGCATGTGGAGAAGGGTACTACAGACAGTAATGCCTAAGGAAAATTGTATGTGGGGACAGGATACCATTTTTCAATGAGCACACATTGATTGATTGCCTGGCCACAGGGCAGTCAGTGTGCTAGGAGCAGTGGAGGACATCCAGAGGATGTTTGTGCCCTTGAGGAATTTAAATTAAAATTGGAAAGGGACCTGGATATAGGCACAGATGGATAAATCACTGTTGAAGGTAGTGTGTAAGAGGGCCGGATATGGAGTAGAGGTCCTAGAGTTGCTGGGAAATGGAAGCAGGCCTGAGTGTGTGGTGCCCATATGGATGTAGAGTCTGGCTTTGGAACTCTAGGGTAGTTGGGTCAATTTCTTAGAGAATAATAGATCATTTAGTTCATTCCGTTGCTCTTAGGCATATGCTCTATATTGGCTAAAACTCAGATGCTTGTTGGCAAGTCTCTTTGCTTTGAGATGGCAGTCTTGTTATATTGCCCAGGCTGGCCTAACCTCCTGGACTCAAGTGATCCTCCTGCCTCAGCCTCCTGAGTGCCTGGGAGTACAGGTGCAAATGCCACTGCACTTGGCTGGACAGTCTCTCCTGGTGTTCTATTATTTATTAATGAGGAGAGTAATATCTAGGTCTATGATCCCTTATCCAAAACCCTTGGAACCAGGCATGCTTTGGAATTTAGATTATTTCAAATTTTGGAGGAAGGTAGTAACAGTGCATACTTTGCATTTCATCCACTGTGGTCTGGGATATCAGTCTCATTTATTTGTTATTTATTGATGCTAGGAATGGAACCCAGGGCTTCATTTGTGCTAAACTTGTGTTCTTTCACAGCTATGCTCCAGTTTCTTCTATAATTTAAAAAAATTAATATTTCTGCAGCAAATCACACTAGATGGTATCAATTAAAACTATAAGCAGCTTACAAATTAAAACTGACTCATGTCAGTCAGTTTTGGTTTTTTTTTTTTGAGACAGGGTCTCTCTATGAAGTCCAGGCTAGCTTCAAACTTGTTATCCTCCTGTCTCATCCTCCCAAATGCTGAGATTATAGAGATGTACCACCATGGCCCAGACTCAGTCAGATTTTGTTGCCAAATAAGTTTAGAACAAGTTATGAAAAACTTTTAGTTTTTGGAACACATACTTAGGAATGTAGCCTTATAGTAATAGCAATAATAATTATTATGATGATAATAATAGCAACAATAGAGCAAATGTTGAATCTTATTGGTATGTATTATCTGCTAGGCACTGTTTTAAACACTGACCTGTGCTTACTCCTTTAATCTTATAACAACCTTTTGTAGTATGTCCTGTTATTATTGCTGTCTTGAAAAGAATAAAAGGCAGCACAGAGAAGTTGAGCAACTTGCTTAAACTCACAGCTGATAGGGGCAGAATAGGATGCAAACCTTGGCAGTCTGGCTGGGAAGATGCATACTTAACCACTATGCCTGTTTTTTCTTTTCAAAGTTTTCAAAGTTTCTTTTCAAATTTTCCAAAGTTCACTTTATCTAGTTAATATTATTAACATATACAATGATAATTGAACTCCTTAAATGCATAATAGTGAGGAAGTGAAGAAGTAGCAGATGCCAGTAAAATGGATCTTTGTTTTCCAAGGGAAATAGAGTAATGGAATTTGTGATTATGGATCCTCAGCAGAATAGGCACAAAAATCCTATCCAAGCTCACATTGCCCTGTGTATTTCTTCCAGGGAAATAAACCCTGAAAGTTGCTGTTGTTGGACTGCAGTGCAAGGATGGAGGCCCCACTGGTGAGTCTGGATGAGGAGTTTGAGGACCTGCGGCCTTGCTGCTCAGAGGAACAGGAGGAGAAGCCCCAGTGTCTCTATGGCTCATCTCCTCACCTTCTGGAAGACCCCTCTCTCTCTGAGCTTGAGAATTTTTCCTCTGAAATAATCAGCTTCAAGTCCATGGAGGACCTTGTGAATGAATTTGATGAGAAGCTCAATGTCTGCTTTCGGAACTACAATGCCAAGACAGAGAACCTGGCTCCAGTGAAGAACCAGTTACAGATCCAAGAGGAGGAGGAGACGCTTCAGGACGAGGAGTAAGAGTCTTTATTGCCCTCTCTTGCTTCAGACAAGAACCCTGTAGCCTGAGCTCCTTGACTTAGAACTAGTTTCTGTCTACAGGCTTATATGGCACACGACTTCCATTCTTATATCTTCAGTGGGGCAGTAACTTGGTAATTGCTGGCATGATCTCTAGATGTTCCTCGATAGTCACCTGTAGAGCAGTGAAAGATTTAGGGTTTTCCTAGAATTTTAGGTGCAAAAAAATTTTGGGGTTTAATCAACTTTCTTCATAGCAAGTGGTAATCCACCCAGATATTCAAAATAAAGACCAGAAAAGAATTAAATTAACTGTGATGGAGGAATCTATATAGGTCATTGCATCAGTTTGCCTCAAGAAACACCAGAATTATGAAAAATCTCAGAATTATTATTATTATTATTATTTGCAGTACTGTAGCTTGAATTCAGGGCCTTCACCTTGAGCCACTCCACCAGCCCTATTTTTGTGAAGGATTTTTTGAGATAGGGTCTCACAAGCTGTTTGCCAGGGCTGGTTTCAAACTGCGACCCTCCTGATCTTGCCTCCTGAGTAGCTAGGATTACAGATGTGAGCAACTGGTTCCTGGTTTCAGAATTGTTTATAACTCCCCAGGTCTGGAAATTTATCCATAAATTTTAAGATATGCTAAATAAGAAAGTATCCAAATTGAACTGAATGCAAGGGGAATTACCCTGGATAAAATAAAGGTAGAAACGAGGTGATGTGGCTTTTGAATATGAATCTGCATAGTAGTAAGTTAGTGACTTACCACCTTCTAGGTCTTAACAGTTGCTATGGAAAGGAATCTGAGAAAAGAACTGTTTTAGAAGGGGCTAGAAAGAAGGGTGTTTTAGGCATTTAGAAAAAACAAGCATGAATTCCCAGTAGAGATAAGATATGCATCAATTCTTCTTTAGGAATCACACAAAAAATGTCAAGTAGCTATGGAAGTTGGAAACAGCTGTGCTTTTGGTTTGGGTTGTTACTATTTGTTGTTGTTGTTGTTGTTGGTTGGTCATTTTCTTTTCATCTTGCTGGGGATAGAACCCAGGGCCTTGTGCATACTTGGACAATCTCTCTACCATAGAGCTACACCCCCAGCCCCATTTCTCTTTTGATGGACTTGAGTAGGAAAAATTGCCCATAAATAATGGGGCAAGAGGCATGTTCTAAAGGACCTTGACTGTATTTGGGAAAGAGATGCTTATTTGATGACTACCAAGGCTCCTGTGAATGATTACAGCAGCTGTAGATCTGTCTGCCTTACTCACTATTACATTCTCACTGTCTAATACGGGGCTTGGTGCTTGGTGTGTTGTAAGTGATCAAATAATATTTTTGAATGAAATGTATAATATTGAATAACCTGGATGGGGTTGGTAATAACTAGCCTCGTAGGTCCTTAGAATGTATTTGAAAGTCCTTATCATTTCCTTCTTTTTGATTAATGGTTCCCTGAGGGCATGGTCATAAAGAGCACTTTACTGTAGTGATCAGTGCTACAGCTGTGGACTGTGTGTTTCAATTCAGCTTTCAGTTTCCAGCAGATTCTATTAAAAATCTGAGCCTGTTAGAATTTTTTCAACTTTTGTAAGTTGGAAAAAGATGACTCTAGGGCTTTATCATAGAGTATCATTTTTCATTCCAGTGAGCCAGGTAATGAACTAGAAACACAAAGACTATGAATTCTCATTTTTGTATTCTCACTAACTCACTGTATGACCTTGGGCAAGTCACTTAACTCTAGTTGACTGCGTGGGTCCTCATCTTTGAAACCTTCAGAGCTCAATCTTGATGAAGCAGGACTAAGGACTTGCAAAGAAGCTGATTTCTTCTCTCACCCAGGATTAAAATGGCATTTTAAGAGGCATCTCACTCCTACTGCTTCCAACAAATCATTTTGCCTTTACCTAAACCCTTCCACTGCCTCATTACAGGTGAAGGTCCAGTGAGCAGCTTCTTATTCTGCCCTAGTACATTAGCAGAGGTCACTCAATGTTAATTACCAGTGCACAGGATTGTTGGGCTCTCAACCAAACTTCTCTGACTTAACTGCCTTGCCCCACTGACTGCCTTGGCTAAGAGACCACAGACTGTATAATTCTTTTTATTTATTTATTTTTTTGGCAGTACTAGGGTTTGAACTCAGGGCCTCACACTGCTAGGCAGGAGCTCTGTCACTTGAACCACTCCACCAGACCTTTTTTGTGTTGGGTGTTTTGGAGATAGGGTCTCACAAACTATTTGCCCAGGCTGTCTGGAACCAAGTAGCTAGGAATACAGGCATGAGCCACAATGTCTGGCTAGAAGTTTCAGTTTCTTTAGTCCTGGTTTGGAACTACTTGGTTGATAAGGAATTGACTGAGATAAGGAGTTATCTCTGATTTCAGGGTATGGTGTTGTAGGCATTATTGGAAAGTCAGATTTGAATCCTGTATATATTTTCTGGTTTTGAATTCAGAAAATGTTCCACAATCTCTTCTTTGTATATGTGTGGTCACCCTTTCCTTTACCATGAGCTGGGACTTGGCATTTGGAACCTCTTAGAGGCCACTAGCAAATGAGAATGGATAACCCTCACCTTACCTCCTTGCTAGGATCCTTCTCAGTCCTCTTGCAGGTGTCCTGCAGACAGATGGGCCAAGATTTGGGAACAATAACTGGTTCCTGTTCTTCAGATAGAATTAATGGGCTAAAGATGATGTTAATAATAAAGCTCACACAATAAATAAACTGCCTGTCATCAGACATATTTTATTTATTTTGGTACATAGTCCAGGCTAGCCTGGAAGTCCCCATCCTCCTGCCTCAGCCTCCTGAGTGCTGGGATCACAGGCATGAGCCATCATGCCCAAGGATAACTGTGCTTTTGAGAGAATTTAATTCTCTTCTTAGAGGTCCTAGTTACCTATGTCCAAGTTATAAAATATGGACATGAAGAGTCTATACTGTGATCTTGGAGATTGGGACATCAAACTGAATCTCAGCTGTCACGGTAGGAATTGAGGCAACCTGTTAAATCTTGCTTCTTTGATAAAGGATAGCATAGGCAGCTTGCAAAGTTTTCCTTCTCCAGGATAAGAGTAAAGAGCAGATGCTTCTCAGGAAGTAAAATTTATTTACTTATTTACTTGCAGTGCTAGGTATCAAAGCCAGGGCTTTGCATATGCTAGGCAAGCTATCACTGACCTACATACCCATTCCCAAGAAGTGAGATCTTATAGTCCATCTCAGGGTAACTTATAAAAGAGAATATATCCACTCCTACGAACCCTGTTTAGAAAGGGATGGATAGCTTCTCTGGGAGCAAAGCCCTTACCATTCTTTTCCAAAACAGAAAGCTTTGTTTTCCCCTCCTACCACTGGATCCTCAGTCCTGTGCCTGGATGCCTGCCATGTTCTGCCTTCGCCTTCCATGGACCCTCGCCTGGACTGGAGATGTAGACAGAGAGCCATCGTACACCCTGTTACCCTTGCCAGATTGCCTTCAGTGGCTTGATGAAAGCACAAGGTCTAGAATACTGTGGGTATGAATTTCACCTTTTGAGCCAGTATCTAAGCTGCTGTTCTAGGTTGTGATTTGGACCTTAGTGTATTATGCCAATGCTCATGTCAATATCAAACAACAGGAAATCATAAAGAGTTGGAATGATTCCATTTTAGGAACATGGGCTCTTGCTGCAGTACTGCCTGGGTTCAAAGCCATCTCCACCATTACAGGCTGTGTGAATTTAGATAACTTAGTTAAACTTCACTGTGTTGTAGGTTTTTCTCATCAGCATTTGCCTTGTGAGTTGTGAGGAATGAATGCATCAATTAGCATAAAGGCTATTTATAAATTTCAAAGGACAAGAAGTACATCAGAAGGGAAGAAAAAATGAGGATAGCTTGAAATCTTGAGGAAATAAATATTTAGGAAATTGTCTAGAACCTAGAATTAGAAGATAAAATTCAAAGGACTGCAGCAAGGTCAAATGAAAAAAATAGGCACTCCCTAAATGATGTGAGAAAGTCCTCAATTGTCTTTAAGGACATAAGCAATCCCAAGGTCATTGTAAGGTGTGCAGACCATTAAGGAATCAATTTCTATCCAACATAGAGGAGGAATGATTCCTGCCTATTTTGGGTTTCGCTGAATCTCACTTCTCCGTGTACTTCCTACAGGGATGAATCTGAAGGTCAGTTCCTGGATGCGTGTTCATTCTTAAAGCAGAGAATGTAGTACACTGATGTGAAGAATTGTCCCATGACCTTTCCTGTGGGTGTGGTGGTTGGAGCTTTGCCTTGCAGATAGCAAATCATACTTGCCTCCTGGCTCCAGAATGCTAATGGAACTGTGGTTTAGAATTAGTCTGGAGGGATACAGCTTTAACAGTGTTTGATGGAGATAGGGGTATCAGCCATAGTTTAAGAAATAGGCTCTGAAATCCTGCTGAATAGCTGCTTCATGAGCTTTTAATGACTTAGTTTTCTCAGAGTGCTTTCTTATAATGGTAGAAAATAACAAGCAGATGCATTGAGTACTGCCAATAAACTGTGTTTCTTGTATTTGTTTCATTACCAATTGCATGTGTTGTGCACTAGGAAAATCTCTTTGATTATAGACCCATATACCATACACCATTCCCGATTTTACGTTACTAGCACTCACCTCCTACATTATCATGTGTCTGATTTCTAGCTAAATATTTTATACTTATCTGTCTAAATTTCACACTTCTGTTTTCAGCATCTTACAATGTAAATTTGATCTACATATGCATATTTGCTTATTTTAAATGGCTATTTTCTTAGACTAGTGTACTTAAATGAAATATACCTTCTCATATCTTAGTATTACAAGTCTCACTCATGTTTGACATGCACAGGCACCTGTTCTATGCACTAAAGCATTTGTCAATGTCTAGCATTAACTCAAGGGTTGCTGGCTTTGGTCCCTGACATTATTAGAAGCTTGATTTACTGATTTACACTAACTAATGTCTTGGTATCTATT